CAAGGACTGACAGAGGCGGTGATAACAAAGGGGTGGCCGCGTTAGTCCGTCCTCGCTAAATAAGTGCGGCGGCGGCGTAAAGACTGGCATTTATTTCAACATATTGGGGGAGGGGGGCGTTGAGGGAGTGAGAGAGGGTATTTCCTATCTGTTTATTCTAGACTTAATATTATTTGTCCGGTTGTGTTTCCCACACTGCCTCTCAGTCGACAACGGGCGCCCACAAAGGGGCCTGTGGAAATGGCTCCTTCTGACGAGAAAGCGGTCGGGTCCCACACAGAGCGGCAAAACCAGACCGCCTGGTTATACAGAAATGTAAGTTCACACAGAAAGAAGAAAGGAATCCTCCCCAATCCAGTCAGATGGGGGCTGAGCGAGGAGGGACCACGGGGAGGGGCCGTGGTTCAGTGGTAGAGCATCCGCTTGGCGTGCTGAAGGTCCCCGGTTCGATCCTTGGCATTTCCAAGCTAAAAGGAACAGGCAGGAGGTGATGCGAAAGACCTCAGCCTGAGAGCCTGGGGAGCCGCAGCCAACCTGAGCAGACGAGACTGACTTTGATAGATCAAGGGTCTGATTCAGTATCAGGCAGATTCATGCCTGAGTGTGGGCCAGGGAGTTGAGGAGCTTTGAGAGAAGACGAGAGTCTGTTAAAGGACCAACAGAGGGAAAGGAAAATGACCCACTTAGGACCCTGAGAACTTAAGAGAATCCTCGAAAAGGAGATTTTGGGGGAGCGGGGGAAGGATTTCCAGTCCTTCCCCTGCCTTTTAAAAAATTATTTCGAAATAAACATATCATAAACATGAACATTAACATAAACTGTAACAAAAAACTTTTTCTTCCAGTGACAGAGAATAGCATAAAATAGTTCCCGTCTAAAACATAAGCCAACAAACCTACAAACTAAACTTATCTTACAAAAGATAAAAGGGATAGTGCAAACAGAGTGAGTGTTTAAAAATATATTTCACTAACTGATTGCAACTAGCGTAAAGTAATACTCTGACATTAGTTTTCCCGTGCCATCTTGATGTTTAAACTTCCATTTTATAAAGGGAGCCCATTTTTCCAGTATATATGATTCATTTACCCGAGAATCACATTTGTGAATGTCATTTGTTATCTTATTCATAATAAAATAATCCCATAACTTCATATACCAAGAATGCACTGTAGGGGGGTTGTCATCTTTCCATTTTTTTTAGCTATAGTACTTTTTGCTGCCGTGGCCATTATCATTCATAAATCTTGTCATTTAGGAATTTTCAGATTCTCCCAAAGATTAAGTAGAATTAATTCAGGATCTGCTGGCATTGTAATTCTTGTTATTTCAGCAATTTCTAAAATAATTTTTTCTCCCTTGGGATTCAACATAGATCCCCACCTTCTCAGCAATGGCAATTAAACATCAATACAACGTGATCCTCCAGGGAGATTTTCCTCTAAGCTGGAGATAGGGCTCTGATGGCCTCATCGATGGTCTACACTTTTACTCCCCCCACTGAATTCGGAGCAGCATACGCAGGGGTCATTTCGTAAAAAAGGAGGTGCAGGAGCTCATTAGCATAACTCATTAGCATAACTTATTTGCATATGCCACACCCCCTGACATCACCGGAGGTGTGTCAGAAGGCAACACCCACCACTCAGGCTCCACTGGACTGTTTTGGATTGCTAGCTATCGGGGGGGGGATATGCAGATCTGTCCTCGCAGAAGAGGGAGAGCTCGTACCTGAATAAAACTTGGTCTTAAAGGTGCCACTGGACTGTTTTGGACCGGGTAGGCTGGGGTGGGAGAGCTCTGCAGCTTACCTGGCTGCTTCTTGCTCTGACTGAGGAGCAAGGGGGTGGGGCTTGTTGCATGTGCCCATCCCCTGGGCGCTTTACTGCCAGAGCTCCGCTCCTGTGCGCTCCCACGGGAAATGACCCCTGAGCATACGTCATTCTTCCTGCCTCTAGTTTATTTTTGCAGCAACCCTGTTAGTCTAAAAAGCTGGCTCAGGATCACCCAGTGAGCTTCAGGAGAAAGCGGAGATTCGAACCCAGGTCTTTTGCCTAACCATATCATCATACCGCCATCAGCTGAAGGGGGGTGGCTGGGACAAGATCCAGGAACAAAGAAAGGTTGAATGCCTGTGTCCTGCTGTCCTGTCCACCTGATACCTCTGATGAGAAACTGGAGGGGGAACTTACAGAAAACAATCTATCCCATGTTTCAGTGATGACAATTCTCGAGGCAGGGGCCAACGTTTAAAAACAGAACAATTCTGTAAAATAAACAGAATCAATCAGCGGGGGGGGGGGGGGGGGGGAGGCAAAGGAGGAAGCAGCCCCATGCTAAACACCAGCAACCCTCAGAACAAACAAAAATTATAGCAGAAAGCATGTTCGCTACAAAAAACCCAGATCTGATCAGATATGTCTTTAATCATCATGAATCAGATAAACCTCAGCAGACAACCAGGGAAAGGGCATCACTGAAAAGCTGAGTTGCCAACCTCCGGGTGAGGCTGGAAGTAAAACTGGCCTGGATGGAGAGGGAGGGTTCTAGTAGAAGGGGTCTGCTCACAGACTTGCTGAACAGGCAGACAACATTCACTCTCTCTCAATTCTTCCAGCAGTTTCAGGACATGGGATGAAACTTCCCTAAGAGACCAGAAGTGCTCCCTCCTAAATGTGAAGCCTAAAACAAATAAGATACCAAAGCTGCACACGTATGCTCGTTTACCTGTTAGTAAACCCCATTCAACATAATGGAAGTTGCTTCTGAGTAGACTTGCATAGGATGGTGCTGTACATTATTTCCTACAGTGGTATTGGTAGTGTGCTCCCCCATTAAATGCTACATATATACAGGGCTTTTTTGTAGAAAAAGCCCAGCAGAAACTCATTAGCATATTAGGCCACACCCCTGACAGCACAGCTCATTAGCACATTAGGCCACACCCGCATGTTACCAGAAGTGTGGTCATCCAGCCACACCCACCTTTTGCTTCTTATTCTGTTTGCTTTGTTGTCAAAACCCAGGGCTTTTTTGGTAGCAGGAACTCCTTTGCATGTTAGGCCACACACCCCTAGTGTAGCCAATCCTAATGAGATTCTGCTGTTAGGTGTGGCCTATTATGCTACTGAGTTCCTGCTGGGCGTGGCCAACTCGGGAGCCAGCCGGAACTCCGTTCCTGTGCGTTCCTGCCCAAAAATAGCCCTGCATATATATATATATAGGGCCAAACAGGACAAACTGACCTGCTATGAAGTTAATTAATCAGCTAATTGCATTCATTAGTGCTGTCAGCCTTATCGGAATTATTCTATGAGTTTATGACACCCTGACGGAAAATCACCATGAGCCGTTTTCACCACTTCACAATGAGCGGCTCCTTCCCAACACATTTGCGGTAGGGGACTTCGAAAGTCATTGGGGGAGGGACCAGAGGTCATTTTAAAGCATGCAAAACATATGCCCCTTACTCTCGGCCCCTCCCCCTCCCTTCCCCACAGATCTCTGTCATAAAACACTGGCACCTACCTGAATCGACTGATCAAATAGTATCAATTGACGAGTCAACAGGAAGCTTACTATGTGACTACAGTGAAATGTTCTGTGATGGCAAGGATGAGATTATTCAGTTCAGGGCTCTTTTTCTAGACAAAGCCCAGCAGGAACTCAAGGGCTCGTTGCTTTCTCCTGCCCCCTCCCCACACTGGTTGCAGAGAGTCAGGAACAAACTTAGTAAAGAAACTGAGCTTTGCTGATTGTCCCTCTGCTAAGATTGTAGTCACTTCCAAACAGGACAAATTGACCTGCTATGTGGTGTGCGTAAAGTGCGGTCAAGTCAGAGCCGACTTATGGCAACCCTTGTAAGGTATTCAAGGCAAGAGACGAACAGAGGTGGGTTTGCCCTTGCCTGCCTCTGCACAGCGACCCTGGACTTCCTCGGTGGTCTCCCATCCAAATACTAACCAGGACTGACCCTGCTTAGCTTCCGAGATTTGACGAGATCAGGCTAGCCTGGGCCATCCATGCCAGGAGACCGTAAGGTAGCCTTTCTTCTGAATGCTTACCACTACTTTGCTTTACTTCTGTCTTCATTGCTTTCAAAAACAGCTCAGTAAATACTTTCAATTGAAAGACATTTTTTTTTATCAAGGCTTGAATCTAGGGTTGCCAGCTCCAGGTTGGGGATTTCTTGAGGTTTGGGGCTGGCCCTCAGTGTGGTATATGATGCCCTAGAGTCCACCCTCCAAAAGTTGCCATTTCCTCCAGGGGGACAGATCTCTGTAGTCTGGAGACCAGCTGTAATTCTGGGAGAGCTACAGGCCCCACCTGGAGGTTGGCAACCCTATTTGAATCTCACAGTCACTCTCTACTTTGGAAAAAGATTTCTACCAGTGGAGAGGGACTTCCACATCTTGCCCCTCCTAGTACAGCTCAAAAATACAGGGACTCTACCAGGAATACCATAAGGGACGGTAGGAAGTCTACCATTGGGGTTGGAGAAAATTGCCCCCTGCTAGCATAAATTTTCTGCAGGATGCAACCCTTAAGAGGGTCAAAAGCTTTATACATACAAAGCATGTGCTTTACCTGTGAGCTGTGCATTCTATTACCTGTCTAGCAATTTAGAAACTCCTAGAGATTGGGGAGGGGGTGCACCCTGGGAAGGCTGGGCTTTGCATCTTCCAAAGCAGCCATTTTCTCCCGGGGAACTGATCTCTATCTTCTGGAGAGCAGTTGTAATCCCAGGAGATCTCCAGCCACCACCTGGAGGTTGGCAACCCTAGCAGCAATTTGCCTTCTCTCCAGACTCAAATTCGGTCCTCGGCACAGTTGACCCGTGTGCCTCGCTAGCTCCAAAGGCTCTCAGAAGCTACCCAGAATCCCTTTGTCATTGAGGCCAGCCGCAAAAGATGCTACAGGCCAGGGAGTCCCTCTTCAAGCACCGTCCTCCCGCCCACCCCACCCCATTCCCGCTGCCCTGGCCCATCCAGAAACTCACCCCAGATGGTGGGTGCACCATCCACCCTAGTTCTGCCGTGGCTGTGGTGGAGTCCATCAGCGTTTCTGGAGGAGAGAAAAAAGCACAAGTCGTCAGAGGTCCCCCTTCTCACCCAATCCCTCTTTAGAAGAATCCTTGCTTTTCCCAACCCTGCTCCAGTTCACGTCTTGCTCTTTGCCACTCAGACCCAAGGCGCATTACATCATTTTTTAAAAAGCAACGAAAACAACATAATGCATTCAATAAACAATGCAATACGCTGCTAAAAGGAGCTGCGGTGGCTCCAGTGGTTAAGACGCTGAACTGCAGGCTGTGGAAGGTCAGTAGTTCAGCAGTTCAAGTTTTAAATGCTACTAAATTATTTGATGTTTTATTATTGCAAGATTTCTTGCCATGTAAGCCGCCCTGAGCCCTACGGGGGAGGGCGGGATATAAGTTTAATAAATAAATAATAAATATTTTTTAAAAAGCAATGAAAACAACATACTGTATTCAATAAACAATGCAATAAGCTGCTAGAAATTACATATCTTTATTGCACCTTTCTCCCACTGGTACTCCAAGCGGGGACCTCACGTCTCAGAGACAGAACGGTTCTTCCATCCTATTTCATCCTCACAACAATCCTGTGAGGTAGTTTAACCTTCGGCTGAAAGAGCTTGACCAGCCTGAGGTCACCCAGCGCACTTCGTGGTTAAGTGAAGATTTCATGCTGGGGACCGCAGAGCCAAGCCTGGTATACGAACCACTCCCCCATGCCACAATGGAACTCTCACACTAGTTCCATGCAGAAGAGTCAAGCTATCTGGTCACCACACCTCAGAAAGGATATTATAGCACTGGGAAAAGTGAAGAAAAGGGCAACTCGAATGATAAAAGGGTTGGAACACTTTCCCTGTGAAGAAAGGTTAAAGCGCTTGGGACTCTTTAGCTTGGAGAAATGACGGCTGAGGGGTGACATGATCAAAGTTTACAAGATTATGATGGCCCATAGATGGCACTTATCCCCAGATAAGCTGGCAAAATGTTACCCCAATCTTTCAAGAAATTGTTGGAAATGTAATTCTGGTCACCACACCTTAAAAAG